AAAGACAGTTGAAAAGGTCAAAAAGATTAAAAGAGTCAAAATTGCATTGAAGGTGTGTACTGCTTTTCAGTTTAACGTTTTTTTAATGCCACTTTCATTTTGTTAGGAACATTTGTAATACTATTAAGCTCTTTTTGTTTAGTGTGCCTGTTCATCTGCTCGTTATTTATTTGTTGGGGTTGATAACAACTTCATGGATTTCCATATTTTTGTGCCAAACAATTTTGCTTGCTTACCCAAAGTAAAGTGGGGAAAACTGTTACATGCCTGTTATATACATCCTGTTAATGAGCTGAAGTAACTTTAGATAGAAATAAATAGCACTTTTCAAGCAAGTTTTATTGAACTCTGAGATTATAGGAGACTAGTTGGGTTTTTTTTTAAGCATTGACCAAGGAAATTCCGATCTCGTTTGAGGATTCAGGTGGGCATAATGTGATAGGCGTTATCCTCACTTCTTTTGTTTTGTGTTCCAGGATCAGGGGTGTATCTTGGTGTCCTCTCTTGGATGCAACTCTGACACTCCTTGGTTTGTGAAAAGACTTTCAGACAAACTCCTTGCTTGCATCTGTAACAGGCCAATAATAAGAGATGCTTGTTAAAGAGCATATAGTTTGATACAGCAGGTTTTTGGGGCGTTTCTCGTGGTTTTTACTTTGGCTTGGTGTGCTACCAGGCTGAGGTAGAATGCAGGGGCAGCACAGAGTACGACCTGGACTGTAACTGTATTGTGTTTTGAAGAGTTAAGTAAATTATACAGGTGAAAAATGAATTTACTGGGTGGGGGGGAAGAGAAGGGGGGAAGTATGTTAGACATACAGCACATAAATTGCCAGTGAGTATTAGAGCGTGGGGACGGGTGGGGAGGAGAAGAGGCGATAGGCAGAGGATGGCATCTCGGAGAGCGAGGCTTGCTGCTCAGATAGCTGTGCATCTAACAGTTTCCCTTGCTTGGTCTGTTCTGCAGTCATTTCTGCTACAGTATGGGGGGAAGGCAAATTCTCATGACATTTCTGCATTACGATCTTATCGCAACCTTTGGAGTGTTACAACGCGCATGTTTAACACAAATATTAACCTTCTGTTAACCCACGTGCATGTAGTGTTGATTGATACGATAACTTTGTGAATTGAAAATATTAAATAACTTAATATTTGCTGTTCTTAGGGAAATAGATTAGCTGCTAAAAGTGAAGTTAAAATCCAGACTCTTGAGGGGATCTGGGAAATGATGCTGGACAAACACACTGAAGTGTTGTTTTGTTGTACAAAGAAAAATCCTGGTGGGAATTGAGACACCTCAGTAGAAAGATGAGCCCAAAATAGTAACTGCTTAGTGCACTGTTGATGTCTTCTCTTCCCTGCTCCTATGATAGAAGCATCTCTTCTCAGCAGTGATATTTCTTCCTCTCTTGCTTCTCTGATAAATATAATGGTAGAATATAATAGAGTTCATTTTCCTTTAGGACAGCCAGGGAGGATAAAGTGTGGTAGGTTTGAAAAAGACAGGTATTCTGGTGTGGGAGCAGGGTGTAATAAACAAGATAAAAATGTGTTTTGAGATGAGTAGTTAAATAACTGACAGATTTTCAGACTCAGTAAATGTGTGTCGTCGAGCTGCCAAACGCACTGTGTTTTGGATAGGTTTGTTGTTGTTGTTGTTCTACTATAAATAATTGCCAAGTTGTAAATGGTAAGTATATAAAGAAGGATGTGGACAAAAATATTGACTTGAAACATTTCAGCTATGACAGCTTATTTTTGTTGATATTGATGCAAGTTTGCTTTGTTTGATATTCTTCCTTTAGAGAAGCAGAATGTTGTAGCAAAGTAGGTGGTGAGAATGTTTTTGGTTTTTTTCTTCTTAGTTTTTAGATTTCCAGGAAGATATTCTTGGGGTTTAAAAGAAGTGGCTGCTTAGAGAGAATGAAAAAAATTATCAACCACTGAAACTTCAGTGTAGTCTTCCTATGCAACGTTAGTCATATCCCACAGAAAAAGAGGGGCAGAGTGTATATGTGCACGCACATGCACACAGACAGTGTAAATCTGTGGGGAGAAATGGAGTATTTTTCATGAGGAGATGTTTTAGTGGTCCTGAGTTGAGAAGTGAAAAGCTTACAGATTGACTTTCTGCTTAAACTTGAGAAGAAACTTCTTTCCAGTGAGGGTGACAGAGCCCTGGGACAGGCTGCCCAGGGAGGGTGTGGAGTCTCCTTCTCTGGAGACATTCAAGACCCGCCTGGACGCCTTCCTGTGTGATCTCATTTAGGTTCCTGCTCTGGCAGGGGGATTGGACTGGATGATCTTTTGAGGTCCCTTCCAATCCCTGACATCCTGTGACTTCTTTCCGAATTCTGTGATAAAGGAGTAAATCATGTCACTTTGGGGTGACTTGTCTTAGAAAATTTGACTCTTGTGAGATTCTGCTGGCTCTTTGCATGCGTTTAACCTGTGTCTCTCTCCTTATTATTCCTATTAATATCACTAATACTAGTGGCATTTCACGCTTTCTGTGATTTCATAGTAAACTGATAATTATCTCTGTGGGCTTCTGCTGGAAAGCATGATGCTATAAAGCATGCACGTTAGGTACTTGTGAAGGAAAACGAAGCTGGCTGATACCCCCCGAACGGTACCTGCCGTAGCCGCTGTCGTGCCCTCCCGCGCTGCGGGCAGCACGGCGCTCGTCCCTGTGCAGACCAGTGTGTGTCACAACCCTGCTGCTGATTTGGTTTGATAAAGCTCTGCTTTATCTGAAAGGATCTTACCTTTTGGCAATTAGTTTGAATTTGAGAAAATTACCTCTGGGTGAATGCCAAAACAAAGCTGTAAAATAAGAAAAACCCAAAACATCTTTTTGCCTATGAACTGTTACGTGGAGCATGTTTCCTGAAAAAAGATATTTCTCTGTTGCATGAGCAGAAATATCTCTACGATCTCCTCTGTTATGAAGGTTGTGTATAAAGCGTGGAATCTGTTAACAGTGCACTTGATTTAATAGCAATTAAAAAACCTATTGATCTCAGCAAATAATTTTATAAATTTTTCTTTCTTGTTTCACGAATGTCACGTGAAAACAGCAAAGCTCGTGCTGCTAGTTGCTGTTTTCACTTTCTGCAGTCTTGTTAATGTTGGTTTTTAATATTTTTTATATATTTTTTTTAAACAATAGCTTACCTCCAAAATAGATTAAACACCACACATTTTGCTTTGGTTAATCCAAACTTCTAACTCGTCTTTTTCTTTTCCAGCTTGTACTTCCAGAGTACCTCATCCATGCATTCTTCTGTGTTATGTTTCTCTGTGCAGCAGAGTGGCTTACGCTGGGTCTCAATATGCCTTTGTTGGCTTATCATATTTGGAGGTAATATTGACGAGTCTGGTACCTCTGTACTCAATGTTAATTGTCACTCATTCTCCCGTAGCAGTGTTTCCTGTTCGCTGTTCTGTGTCTTTGGCAAATAAAGATGCTTTCTGATAGGATGTGGAGAAAGTTTACCTCATGGCTATGAAATAAGAACCATCACTTTGCTTTCTCTGACATTTTAATTTTTTATTCCCTTGGGCTATGCAAGAATTGTGTTGTGTGTGCGTTAAAGGTGGCTGACCTGTCAGAGCTGTGCTGATATGGCAGGTTCACAGGGTGGATTGCCAGTAGAAGTGGCAATCCCACCTTCCTCCTACCAGTAAGACATGGGCACCACCTCTCCTTGTACTGGTATTAATCCTGTGCCAGGCAGCTGGTCTGGTCAAAACATCTGGGCCCCACAGTTCAGAAAGGACAGGGAACTGCTGGAGAGAGTCCAGCACAGAGCCACCAAGATGATGAAGGGAGTGGAGCATCTCCCTGCTGAGGAAAGGCTGAGGGAGCTGGGGCTCTTTAGCTTGGAGAAGAGGAGACTGAGGGGAGACCTCATTAATGTTTATAAATATGTTAAGGGCGAATGTCAGGAGGATGGAGCCAGGCTCTTCTCAGTGATGCCCAATGGTAGGACAAGGGGCAATGGGTGTGAGCTGGAACACAGGAGGTTCTGCTTAAACTTGAGAAGAAACTTCTTTCCAGTGAGGGTGACAGAGCCCTGGGACAGGCTGCCCAGGGAGGGTGTGGAGTCTCCTTCTCTGGAGACATTCAAGACCTGCCTGGACGCCTTCCTGTGTGATCTCATTTAGGTTCCTGCTCTGGCAGGGGGATTGGACTGGATGATCTTTCGAGGTCCCTTCCAATCCCTGACATTCTGTGATTCTGTGATAACCCAGCAAAAGAGCTTTCCCTGCAGGGCTGTCTCTGCTAGTCCTGGGTGAGGAGAAGTCAGAGGGGTGGAGGTAGGGCTGTTCCTTCCGCCAGCAGCCTGCAGTGAACTACAATTTGAAGATCATTTTGTGTTGACCTGTGATGGGCTTTCCTTCAGCACAGTAGCCAGCGTGTGTTCTGTTGATGAGTAGAGGCCGCAGGTTACAGGGAGTTACACGTTGGTCTCTTCTCCAGCTTTTCCAGCCCTTTTGTAAGGAGTCTCATTTTTCCCTTATTTCTACATTTGTCCTATTTCTCATCGGTGTACCAGAGTTCAAAAAAAATTAAAGCAGAGCTAAGCTGTTGTAGAATCATAGAATGGTTTGGGTTGGAAGGGACCTTAAAGCTCATCCAGTTCCAACCCCCCTGCCAGCAGCAGGGACACCTGTCCTGCCTGGAAAAGCTCTTCCATAGGCACGTTTAGTTTGGACCTTTGTATTGCTCTTGCAGTTCACCATCTTCTCCATGGAGGTGCTGGGATTTGCTGTAAGGAGTGTGATTCCCTGTCTGGGTTCTGGCATTACGTGGTGGGTGTGGGGCAGGAACCAATGTTTCCCATCGCCGTCACCACAAAACTAACTGTGCATCCCTTTCAGGTACATGAGTAGACCTGTGATGAGTGGCCCTGGCCTGTATGATCCTACAACCATCATGAATGCAGATATTTTAGCCTATTGCCAGAAAGAAGGATGGTGCAAATTAGCATTCTACCTTCTATCATTTTTTTACTACCTATATGGGTAAGTTGTTTTTTTTCCTTTGTCTCTCCTCTCTAATCTTCAGTCTGTTTTATTTATTTTTTTTTTAAATTGGGATCACTGAACAAGAGAAATTTGGTACATAGGAATATATTTATATAGTGCCAATTTACCTGAAGAAGTATCCACAACCACCATGTATTGTTTTAAAACACAAGCCTTAATTTGATTGGAATTACTGTTTTGAATCCATATCATGACTGGAGAATTTAAAGCTCCAATATAATAAGGTTATTATATTATGCTTCTTTTCATAGAATGGTTTGGGTTAGAAGGGACCTTAAATATCATCCAGTTCCAACTCCCCGAGCATAATACAGACCCCCCAACCCCCAGTATTTTAATTAAGAAGCTGGAACAATAGTATACAACATAAGAAAGACATGGACCAGTTAGAACTAGTCCAGAGAAGGGCCACCAGGATGATCCAAGGGCTGGAGCACCTCTCCTATGAAGACAGGCTGAGAGAGTTGGGGCTGTTCAGCCTGGAGAAGAGAAGGCTCCGGGGAGATCTTATAGCAGCCTCCCAGTACCTGAAGGGGCTCCAGGAAAGCTGGGGAAGGACTTTTCATAAGGGCAGTTAATGACAAAACAAGGGGAAATGGGTTTAAGCTGAAAGAGGGGAGGTTTAGATGAGATATTAGGAAGAAGTTCTTCACTGTGAGGGTGGTCAGACACTGGCACAGGTTGCCCAAGGAAGTTGTGGCTGCTCCTCCCTGGAAGTGTTGAAGGCCAGGCTGGATGAGGCTTTGAGCAGCCTGGTCTAGTGGAAGGTGTCCCTGCTGCTGGCAGGGGGGTTGGAACTGGATGAGCTTTAAGGTCCCTTCCAATCCAAACCATTCTATGATTCTATGATTTTTAGAGTAAGTAGGTATTTTGCTGTAAATGTGGGTTTTTTGTTTGTTTGGGGTTTTTTTAATTGAAGTCAAAAGTAGAAGAGTCATTCTGTTACAGTGCTCCTTGATGAAATGATGACAGGTTGTTGCATCAGTTCATGTCATGCTTTATAATGATATGTTTTGGGTAAAATCTTCAATCACAATTCATGTATCTCACACAGATTTCTTCCTTAGAATACCTGACTGTGTAATTAAATGTATAACAGTAATCAAAATGGTGCATCTTAATATTTTTTTTTTATTTTCCAGCATGATTTATGTTCTGGTGAGCTCTTAAGAAGACACTCCGCAAGCTTTGCTCCAGTGAAGTGCATGCAAAAGCCTCAAAACATGGATTCTTTACAACGAGAACCTCTTACCAAGATTAAATCCAGAACCTGATGGTTGCGTTTGCGTTAGAAAACAATTACTCCCCCCATTTTTAAAATATTTCCACATTTTATATTTGTGGAAAGACTGTTTTCTTATATTTTACCGGGACACTGAAATGAAAAGAGATACGTGTAAGTTAATATAAAGGTAAATGGGTTTTGAAAAGTTTTGACTTTGCACTCTGTAAGGAACAGCCATCCCCTTCCAGTAGGTACTGGTTACTAGCTGTAGTACACTAGTGGTTTTCTCTAGGCTGGGCTTCGTAGCGGCTCGTTCGGACTTGCGTATCCCACTCTTAACTAGACACCAGCTGTAGCTGCTGGGAAGGACTGGAAGTGCTGTGTGTAGGTGACGTCGGTCTTAAGAAATGAATTCATGGACACAATTGCCAAAATAGGAGTTGTATTTTGTTTTGGTTTGTTTTATTTGATTTTCCTTCTTTTATTTTTTCCCTATCTGGTTAATCTTTCCCTGTATATACACAGGTCAGAGATTTCTGTATTTTCACCAAACATCAGTCTTGCTTTAATCTCAAGCGTATGTCGTTGTGATAGGAGAAGTTGAATTGTCACAAGGAGTGAATTTGAATGACAGTTTTGTTTTTCTTTTTTTTTTTAATCTGTGCTGTCTTATTAACAAATGGACAAACCTACAACATTTATCAAGTCCAAGGATGAAAAAATACTCTTGAGTTTAAGAGTAATACTACAACAGACCTTTTCAAAGCAGAAAGTGAGATTGTGAAACTGCCTTGCTGTTCCTTAGTGCAATAAATAATAAAAAAAATTTTCTCAAATTCAGAAACACTTTTTACCTGGTGCCTTGTTTGGTTTTTTTAAGTTGAACAGATAACTTGCTGTATTCACCTGTTTGTTTGTTTTCTGATGGATAATTGCATTACCTTTTAAAAACAGAACACTGAATCAAGTTATGTCTGGAAAAGGGAAGCTCTTTTTTCCTGCTTTTTTTGTGTGTTCTTCACAGGTCTGCAGATAGATGGGGCAGGGGGAAGATAATTCAGCTAAACCAATAATGTTGTAAATTGTTACTGCAACAGCTGCTTAATTTAGGAGTAATAATGAGGAATCTTTTTCATTTACCTGTGCTGCAGAATAAGGAATAATTGCCCAATTCTATTAAAATGGTTTTGTGTAAACTGTTTATTTGTTCACTTGGGGTCTCTTGGGTGTTGGATGCAATAAAAGGCGTACGAGTGTCTGCGCTGGGTTCCACCAGAAATCCAGATACTCCAGTATCACTGTGTTGGTTGGTGGCAAAGAATTAGGAAAAAGAAGATGAATATGTTTATTTTTCTCTCATGGGCCCAGTGTGCTAAGGGAAAACAGTAGAGAACTGTCGGCCTAGTGACTGTAATTAGAGCCCAGTATAAATGATAAAGGAATTATTTGTCAAAGCAGTCTTGTTTCACTGTTGTTACTTGATGATGATGATGATGATGAGGGGATCAAGGAGAAGACCAGTTTATTTATTAAAACCCAGAATGTGATGGCAGATGTGCAAAAATGACAACAGCAACCAATAAAAGTTTGAGGGGTAGGTTTGTGCTTACGTGGTGGCAGCTTAGGGTTATGGTTTTTGGGTTGGCTTTTTTTTTTTTTGAGAGAGATATGACACTTATGTTACAGGACATAAGACACTTTGGCCTCTAATGCAGTAATAAATACCCTCCCAGGGATAGTAAAGTGCTCACCAAGCCACTCTCCATCACTTATCAGCAGTCCTGGCAACTGGAGAGGTTCCAGATGACTGGAAGCTGGTTAATGTGACACACATCTACAAGAAGGGCCAGAAGGATAATCCAAGTAACTACAGACCTGTCAGTCTGACCTCGGTGCCAGGGAAGGTGATGGAGCAGATCATTCCCTGGAACAGGTTGCCCAAGGAAGTTGTAGATGCCCCCTCCCTGGAAGTGTTGAAGGCCAGGCTGGATGAGGCTTTGAGCAACCTGGTCTAGTGGAAGGTGTCCCTGCTGCTGGCAGGAGGGTTGGAACTGGATGAGCTTTAAGGTCCCTTCCAATCCTAACCATTCTATGATTCTGTGATCCTGAGTGCCATCACACGTCACATGCAGGACAACCAGGTGATCAGGCCCAGTCAACACAGGTTTATGAAAGGCAGGTCTTGCCTGACCAACCTGATCTCCTGTGAGGAGATGATGTGCTTAGTGGATGCAGGAAGGCCTATGGATGTGGTGGACTTAGACTTTCGTAAAGCCTTTGACACTATTTCCCACAGCATTCTGGAGAAACTGGCCACTCATAGCATGGATGGATGTACTCTTCGCTGGGTAAAGAACTGGCTGGATGTCCAAGCCAAAGAGTGTTGAAAGGAGTTCAATCCAGTTGGCAACTGGTCACAAGGGTTGTTCTCCAAGGATTAGTGTTGGGGCCAGTTGTGGTCAATATCTTGTATCAGTGATCTGGATGAGGATTTTGAATGCACCCTCAGTCAGTTTGCAGACGACACCAAGCTGGGCAGTAGTGTTGATCTGCTTGAGGGTAGGAAAGCTCTGCAGAGGGATCTGGACAGCATGGATTGATGGCCTGAGGCCAATGGTGTGAAGTTCAATATGGCCAAGTGCTGGATCCTGCACCTGAGTCACAACAACCCCATGGAGCACTCCAGGCTTGCAGAAGAGTGGCTGGAGAGCTGCCTGGCAGAAAAGGACCTGGGAGTGTTGGTCCAGAGGAGGGCAATGGAGCTGGGGAAGGGTCTGGAGCACAAGTGTGCTGAGTTCCCGGCTGAGGGAACTGGGGGTGTTGAGCCTGGAGAAAAGGAGGCTGAGGGGAGACCTTGTGGCTCTGTGCAAGTCCCTTGGAGGAGGGTGGAGAGAGGTGGGTGTTGGTCTTTTATCCCAAATAACAAGTGATAGGACAAGAGGGAACGGCCTTAAGTTGCCCAGGGGAGGTTTAGATCGGATCTGAGGAAAAACTTCTTCACTGAAAGGGTAGTCAAGCACTGGAACAGGCTGCCCATGGAAGTGGTGGCGGCACCTTCTGTGGTGGTATTTAAAAGACAGATAGATGAGCTGCTTAGGGACATGGGTTAGAGGTGGAATTGTCAGTGTTGGGTTTATGGTTGGATTTGATGATCTAAAGGTCTTTTCCAACCATGACGATTCTGTAAAAATAATTTCCAGTAAGGTGGGTCACACAGCAAGATTTTCCAAGGAGCCCCATGTCCCAGGCTTTATATCCATGTGTAGAGAATGGGTTTGTGGTCTGGCAGCAAAATCTGTATACAAAATCTGTAACGTAAGGAAGTGGTGTGTGAAAACCCAGACAGGTCTGATGGTTTAGCTGAGTATTTTCTCATGGACCTGATTGTGACTGATGTGAACTTAATCCTGTTCAAACCTCTCAGAGTTTCAGGTCATTTTTGTTTCTCATTTCTCAACAGTCAAGCCCGAGAACCAGCTGCTCGGTTATACCTGGCTCTCGTGTCTGTGTGCACCAAACCAAAGACAAAGTGAAGATCTTTATACCCCGAGTTCATAACTTGTCATACCAGACAAATACAGTTGTGCCTGACCTGGTTTCGCTGTCCTTGGGTCAGGGGAAGAGCCCTCAGCCCTGGAGACAGTGGAGTGGCTCATATATGTAGTTATCTTCTCTCTGCTATTCTGCACTTGGGTTTCCCAAACAACAAAATAAAGAATTGATTTACTTCAGGTCACAGCCTGGGAGTGAACTGAGTGTGTGTGCAGTGGAGACAACCAGGGACTAGTGGGAAACAATGTGTGAAGGAACCTGATGGTTTATAGTCGTAGCACGTATCTTGCTCAAAGATAAAACTTTAACAAACAAGCTATGTTCTTCTGCTGCAAGGAGCTAAAAGGAGATCCAAAGTGTCCAAACCACCAAAATAATTATCATAGAATGATTTGGGTTGGAAGGGACCTTAAAGCTCATCCAGTTCCAACCCCCCTGCCAGCAGCAGGGACACCTTCCACTAGACCAGGTTGCTCAAAGACTCATCCAACCTGGCCGAGAACACTTCCAGGGAGGAGCAGCCACAGCTTCCTTGGGTGACCTGTTCCAGTGTCTCACCACCCTCACAGTGAAGAACTTCTTCCTAATATCTCATCTAAACCTCCCCTCTTTCAGCTTAAACCCATTTCCCCTTGTTTTGTCATTAACTGTCCTTATGAAAAGTCCCTCCCCAGCTTTCTTGTAGCCCCTTCAGGTACTGGGAGGCTGCTATAAGGTCTCCCCAGAGCCTTCTCTTCTCCAGGCTGAACAGCCCCAACAGCCTGTCCTCACAGCAGAGCTGCTCCAGCCCTCAGATCATCCTGGTGGCCCTTCTCTGGACTTGTTCCAGCTGCTCCAGGTCTCTCTTGTGATGGGGACTCCAGAACTGGACACAGTATTCCAGTTGGGGCCTTACGAGAGCGGAGTAGAGGGGGAATTTTAAGATTATTAGTAACTGATTATCCCAAACAATGATATGGAATGCCAAAGATTTGTTAGTCACCTCTCATTTCAGATCTTGGTTTCTGGAAGTTATGTTTTAGTAAGACTAATTAATGTATGTAGTGTTCCAAAGGATGCATGGTAATGTCTCTGGGAGCACTCCACTGGTGATATCACCAGAAGATCCCACGGGGTATCATTTCAGTTTTTAGATTGTTGTTTTGGGATGGGGAAAAATAATATGTGGAACAGAGTTTCAAAATTTTCAAGCATCTTCTCTTTTTTCTCCCTTGACTTTAAATTATATGTTTGTATTGCTCATGGCAGAAGGGTTGGAACTGGATGATCTTTAAGGTCCTTTCCAACCTAAACCATTCTGTGATATGAGGATATGAATGAAAAATTCTTGCTACGTGAGATAAAATTGTGTAACATTTGGAGAAACAGTTCTAACTTGAGATACAAAAGAAAA